ATTGTTAAGTATAAATATTTATCTTATTGAACTATATGAATTTTAATATGTATATATATATAATATATATATAAAGTATAAAAATGAATATTTTATACACATATATATAAAATATTAATTTTTATACGGAAAAAGTGATTGGAATTAAAAATAAATTTCTAATTCCCAGTCACTTTTTACAGAGAGTCCATACACACCTGATACATCCTTAAATCCTAAATTACTAAAATAATGATGCATAGCTATATGTATCTCTCTCATACATTATCTTCAGGATTGATATTTTAAAAAGTTAATGGACTTTTATCCCCGAGAGATAATGTCATGAGAACTACAGTAGTGGAGAATTAAAGTCAATATATGATTCCTACTTTATGTGAAACTATATTAAAGAATTCTTTGATGTCACTTTTACCGCTAATAGCGTATATTAATCCAATATGCTGTACGTAATTTAGCGTATATTAATTCAATATGTACGTAATTTAGTGTCACTTTCAATATCCATATCTAATACAGAATATTCCGTCTTCTTTCAATCAATAAAATATAGAATGAGAGATCAAGAACATTTAAATTATACGATATTTAGACATTTGGTGGACGAGAAGCTGAAAAATCGAAAATTAATATTCTTGATTGCAGGAGATCAAGGTCTATAAGAAGCGATGGCTGATCCTCACACTCTTTGTGGTGTACAGCGCTAGCAATGCTATGCAATGGATTGAATATAGTATTATTACGAACATTGTAGCGAAATATTATAACGTCTCGGATTATGTAGTGGACATGACGAGTATGATATACATGATAACGTATATACCATTGATATTCCCTGCCAGTTATCTGCTTGATAATTTCGTAAGTAATAATTGCGTTAACGATAGGATAGAATGAACGGAAAATCTGAAAAACCCGTCGTATATTCTCTTAAAGTATATTCCAAAACGTCTTCTCCGAGAAAAACTTTCCTCGAAATATTTAATACTCGAAATATATACTATAGTATATAATCTTTCTTGGAAAGGGCGTTTTGGAATGTATTCTTAACTATGAATTTTTTTCTCATTCAATTTTCGAAAGTATCAGAAAGCGGCAGTCATCTGCCGGAAAAATTGCATCACTTAATTTTCGTAGATTTGAATGGTAAATTACAATGACAATTAAAAAAAATCGCGTGGTTTATATTAAGAATGTTACAGAATCTTATGCCACTGATATAATGTATTCTATTAATAATAGCAATAATAGATAATAATTTTTACCGTCAATTTCTATTTATTGTTTAATATTTGCCTAGACATAAAGTCCCCAAAATCGGGACATAAGACATTTATTTGAATCGGAGTAATCATTTAATTTTTTACGGAAACGATCACTTGGGGCATTTTTATACTTTAATTAAAATCACTATTACTAACAATATATTGTATATTATTTATTGTTTTGCAAATTATTAGTATTTGAGAACATTATGGATTTAATCACAATTTTTTGAAAAAAATAAGTAGAAATAAAAAAATATTTAACGAAGTAAGCTGTATGAGTTTAGATAGTTTATTATAATGATATTTCTAAAAAAATAAAAATTTTAATTAATAGTGCTTTTTTATTACGTGTTTTCAATGAAAAAATTAATTAAAAAATAGTTATTAAAAAAGAAAAAATATGTTAAACAAATATAAAAAAATTTTTCATAAAAAATTTTTTTATGGATATTTTTTACAATTTATATTTTTTGCTGCTAGAGTAAAAAAAAGTATTATTCTCAGGTGAAGAATATCTTAATAAAAATCTTTTAAAAAACGTCTTATGATTCGATTTTAGACTTTGCGTTGACTGGATGTGTAATATTACTGCTCATTAAATTGACGAATATATGGAAGAATGTACGGGATTTTAGGGTCTCAGATGGACGGTGATCGTCGGAGCATTTGGTACCGCCATAGGTTCCTGGTTAAAAGTTTTTAGCGTAGCCCCCGATCGCTTTTGGATCACATTTTGCGGTCAAACTGTGGTAGCAATTAGCCAAACCTGTATTTTGTCCATTCCTGCTCGGTTGGCCGCGGTATGGTTTGGAGACAACGAAGTCAGTCGAGCTTGTGGCATTGGTGTCTTCGGTAACCAGGTAATCAAATATCTTTGTGTATCATTAATCTTATTATAATATATCTAAGATAGAACTTATATTCATATTCTAAGAGAAAGCTTGGGAATTTCGATCTGACATTTCATTCTCGAATCAAGTTCTTTTGTTAGATTAGACATTTCTCGAATAAATTAAATCGTAATGTAAGCAACGTGAAATATGATAATTATATATTATTTGTTGATTATTATTAATTATATTTTCTATTTTTTGGGGTAGTGTAAGAATTTAATTTTGCACCGGTATACATTGAGAGAAAAATATTTGGTACTTGTGACTATATATATTTGCATGGTAAAATAATTATAGTTAGGAACTCCAATTTTATATTTATTACTGTTATAATACAAAGACCCTAATAATAAAGTTCAGGCATAAGCGATTTTATCAAAATCCTATAAGAGAACTTAAAGGTATATGTACTTTCTCTTTATATATACTATGTATCTCATTCTAACTTATACTATCTCATTTTGTAATCTTAATTAAAGTTATAAATTGAGACAGTATAAGTATAACAGTATACAGTATAAGTTATTATTAAAATGAGATGATATGTATATAAGAAAGAAGTATATATTTCTCTCTCGTAAGGTTTTGACAAAATCGTTCGTAGTCAGAATTTGTTATAGAATTTCTGTTATAATATTAGTAATAACTAATAATAATATGTTATAATAGGAATTAGACTGATAAAAATAAATTGATTAAGAAAAATAATCCTATTTTCGAATTTTTTAATTCAATAAATCTAATCAGTGCGCAGTTTATGAAAACTGAAAATTGTATTTGCGAAAATTTGCATGTAGAAATATTATTAAGTATCAAGATCCGTTTCGTCTGAAAAGGATTATTTATTTTAATTGAATAATCATAGTTATAGTTCTATCTAAAAATATATTGGCACTGAAAAAAAACTATAAATTGCAATCATTTTTCTCTCACTGTACGTTTTGAATTTACTATCTGTTATCTTCGTGCAAATATTTTCATAAGGATAATATGTGAAACAAGCAGTAACACATCAACCGTCCGCAACGTGCTAAACTTTATGATGCACGTGAATTATTTAATCCACATAATAAAATCGCTTTAATTATCCGAATCAAAACGCAAGATAACATAATATCGTAATTTGGTAACAGGTCAAATTTGACTTTTTTTAATACCCATGGTATTAATTATTTTGTATCTCTTCTCTCGATTGCGCGAATATGAAATACTAATAATTCAATATTATATAAAATAAGATTATAATATAATAATCCCATCTCTTGTTATTATGTTCAAATTTATTACATATCTGCGTGCAACAATTTCCATTTCTATTGAACGTATAATTCAATCTGATGATTTAATTTTATATAATTTTGATGGAAAGGTCATAATGTAAATGTTTAAGAATTTATTGAAAAACTTATTTTTCCATTTAAATTTTTATTGATGTTATTATAACTAAACTTATAATGCTGGCGTGGCGGCTAAACTCTGACGAGATCTCTGTTTTACTAATTAAGTAAATGCGACTTACACACGTACTGTTTATAATACAAACATATGATTTATGAGACATCGATACGTATCATACATCAATTATACGCCTACATGTATACATATAGTGACATGTACGTAAACTTAACAGCAAAATTGTATTCAGTATTGGATTGTCAAATGTATGAGATGAATGAGCCGATGGTGATTCAAAATAATACAATGGTGGTACTTGATGTCATGACTTGTGTTATGATATTTCGTTTTTTGATTTACTAAATACGGTTGCAATATTTTAACATTGGTTCATCTATGCATTGGATGATTACAATCTAAACATAAAGTTGTTGTAAAGTTTATGCACATTTGTCAATCTAGGAATATTTTAACAAAAAATAATTTTTATTTAATTTTTTTTATTTTCGAAATACTGCATTTTTATATACATACAATTAACTTATTTATATATATTCTTCTTATTACAATTACAATAATACATTGGATATTATAATATTCTTGAAAACGCATACACTGGCAGGGTGTCGACGGGACTCGAACGTAAGATCTCTAGGGTGGTAACCCAACTACGCTAACGCTGAGCTATATTTCCTTTGTCATTCGTCCCGATCATGTGTCACGAGAGACTCGAGAGAGTCAAACAATAGTTGCTTTCCATTTACACACAAGTGACACCAAGTCCTGAAGTGAGCTGAGTATTTCATACTCAGATTATTGACGTCATTACTTACTTACTTTGGTAAAAGGTTATTACATGGCAATACAGATTCATAATCTCACTTTTAAAGTGAGTTCACAAGATTCAGTAAAGCATATAATCTCATGATAATCTAGCTAGCTAGATCATTATTATATATCTGATAAAAAATTTGAAAATTATTAGGCACTATTATATTACGTTAAAGTTTAATTGTAATTTTTTTTATTTTTCCTGTTTTCGCATAAAACAAATCAGAACCAAATGTACAGCATGTGTATTTCAAGGAAAAGGAATTTTAATTCTGTGAAATCAATACAAAGTATATCTCGTAACAAAATGGTATTTTTATCAGTAAAACAGGCGACTTCATCCCCTTAATCTAATTCTATATAATTCTAATGGAAATATGTCATCGTCTTGAAATTTTTTGATCCTCAGAAAGAAGATTTATGCAAACTTGTTTCTTGAGTTGAATACCTGCTATTATTATGTAAGGCCCAATTTTTCATCAAACGTCGATGTGTGACGGCACTTGTTATTTAAAAAACATAAGAGGAAGCACTCGACATCGCCAACACATGTCATATGCGTGCGGACAATGAGAATAGATCTCGCATACGGAACAACGGAAGTGACAGTCTGGAGTACTCACTGATCGACGAGTAGGGTGCCTCGAGAGATTTAAATTGCGACGTGATTAGGTGGGAAACCGAGTCAAAGTGGGCACCCACGTTTAATTTCGCTACCTCGACAGACGAACGACCATGTCGTGCATAGAGAGGAGCGGCTGATGGCAGGAAGGGGTGTCAGGGGGGAGGGGCTCACTCTACGTCGCGAGGGATTCAATTACTCCAAGGTGCTGTAGACTGCCGCTATCATTTTATCAGCCATCGCGGTCGCACTTTATCGAAGAATCTATCGCGCTTTAATTGCACTGATTTCGTAATATGATGAAACGGAAGATCAATCTGATGCATTTTACAACCGCGATTGCGTGTCATAATCGCAGGTCTGTAATTGATAAAAATCCTGGCTGATTCCAGAATCCAGAATTTTCAGATAAGAGAAACGATGGCTTGACCTCGTCTCTTCTATCTCTCTTACCTTTAATCTTCCGGAGCTACAGACTTCAAAGTCTGTAATACAATTACTGACGCTGGATCTGTGAAACTTATTTCATTTATTATAAGTGGAAATTAGACTGATAAGAATAAATCAATAAGAGAAAGAATCTTATTTTTGGAAACGGATCTTGGTGCTTAATAATATTTATATGTAAAAATTCATATTTTAGTTCTACAAATTACAATACGCGCTGATTCGGTTTGTTAAACTTGAAATCTAATCATAAACTAAACTTGGAAATAATCATAACAAATGACAATGCCTTGTATAAATATCATTATTACAATTGACGATGTAATTTGTGATGTTATTTTTAGCATTTTATGATTGCGTTTCAAGTCCAACGAACAGAATCAGCGCGCAATATATGGTATTAAAAAATATATTTACAAATTTGCTTATGTGTGGATATTATTAATCACCAAAGCTGCTTCGACCGAAAATAAGATGTTTTTTTCTTATTTGATTTATTTATATATATTGACTAAAAGACACTTTAAGAATTAATTTCAAGAAATCAAAATGAAGTTCAAAAGTAATCAAAATAGTCATATAAAAAAGAATATATCCTCTCTTCTGAGACACAAAATATTCTTGACATACTAATCTTATTACAACTTTATGCAGTACTAAAATAAAACGATATTAAGATTAGAGATCAATACAATTTCTATTTCCCCTTCCTCGAATTAAATAAGATTAACCTATTATCTTGAGACAAAAGTAATAAATTTAAATCTATATATTCTTACGTTTAGAATAAATCTTTATTCGATGCTATAACATATAATATTGGCGCTATATAGTATGTGTGACACAAAACTGGATATTCAAGATTATTTATTAAAAAAAATTTTCCATTTAAGAATAAAATATTCCTCTGTTAACAACAAATATGATTGTTTCTACATTGATCTTGTTTTATGATAGATCAAAGAATAATAGCGTCCAGAAATCTTTTCTATAGGCATACAAATACTAAAGCTGTGTTCTGTTTGAAAGCACATGCGCTTTAAGTTTCATTCTGTTTTTATCGCTACATACAAAAGGAATATGGAATAAAGCTTACAGTGTGAGCGTGCAAATTGAACACAGCCTAAGTTACTTTACTTAATAACTATTTCTTTAATAACTATTTCAGATTTGCAAAGCATGGAACATAAAGAATATAATTGAAAGTCCAATAGATCCACCGTCAATTCCGGAGGGTTAACTTCTAATATACTTCTAAGATGCGTTTTGCAATTATTGGAAAGATAAATATAGCAAACGTGTCTTTGTTTTCTTTTATAAATAATATTGTCCTTTTGAAGTGCGTTGCTTCATATACGGAAATTGCATGTTTTACCAGCTGACAAGGAAAATATTTCACTTCGGTAACGATTTGTAAAGATACATACGAACGCTATTTATTTAACTTCTTCGGCAAGCATACAAGTTCTATTCTCAAGGCAGATATTGTCATGCCGTACATACCGTAACTGCGTAAATAAGATAGGGCCACGTTTATAAAATTGCACTCAGGGGCTTGTGATCTTTGAGTGCTCCAATGTAACTTCCCATCTTCCCTCAATAAATACAACTTTTTTAATACATTTGCTAACTTTACAAATATATCGATGAGATACTGGTAACAATACCTCATCGATGATAAATAATGAACTAAATTTGAGTCAAATTTATATTTTTTTAGTTAAATTATTTAACTGTTTTGTTTTAGTTGCGTAATATTGTTTAAATCAACGACAAAATGAGTAGAAGTAATGATGACTTATAGAAACAATTAAAAAAATTCAAATTTGATATTTGAATTTAACAGTATAACTTATTCATTTTTTAAAGCTGCGACGCTCCTGGCGATTCAATATCTTAGGCGCTCCAGAAGTCCATAAGTAAATACATTATTGGAGTAAGATCTACGAATTTACACGGCAAACATTTCTTTTTGCCTTTTTCCTAGGGTTCAATAACAATTTTTTAGGACGTTCGTCACTTGAATTTCTGTTGCAGCTGGGTATAGCTATCGGTTTCTTATTTCCACCAATGTTAGTGCCGAACAAGGACGCCTGTGAAATCGAAAGGGGGCTTCAATGTATGTTCTATATCGTCGCGGCTATCACGTCGGTCGTACTAATCCTCATACTAATTTGTATGTGTATATAATTTTCATCGATTATACAATTTGGCAATAAAATCCCGAAGTTTAAAAAACATAATATGTGACGTACAAATCAAGATATGAGATTTGACTTCAAATATTTTTCATTAAAAAATTGTAAAATTGGAGACTAAAAGCAAAGAAAAATTGAATAGGAATAACTTTTGCAAAATTTTATTTAAAAAAATTGCTTTGTGTACTTTATATAATTATTTTGCTTACTATCATTATTTTATATATTATTATTAGTAATAATAATAATAATAATAGTTTGATTACTGTTATTATCAAAGAAAATATATTTATATTACATTTTATACTTCTTACAAACAAGAATTGATTTTGCTAATCGGGATTTATTTAATCCCTCGATTTTATCGCCAAACGGCGTATATTCTTCCACTCTTTCACTCTTAATAGAAATTGGTAATTTATAGTCTTCAAGTCGGCACCGCCTTTACCACCTAGCTCCGCTCAAGTTGTGCAAAGAGAAAAATCCGAAAGCAACAAGGACGTGAAGAAATTTTTTAATTCTCTCGCAAGGTTGTGTTCGAATCGTGGCTATCTGTTGCTTTTAATCAGTTATGGCATTAACGTCGGTATCTTTTATGCTATAAGCACCCTCCTAAATCGACTCGTCACCAAAGAATATCCAGTAAGTATTTCATTCGATAACTATAAGTACTTTACTTTCTTTTCGATTCGAATCTCGCATTTTTTTTGTAATTATGAATTCTATATTATCGTAATTGTCAATACATATATGTCTTCTTACAAAAGTTTGTATTTTTTTTCTAGAGATTACAGGCTCTGATTACGAAATGCTATTTTGAAATAAGTTTCTTGATTACATCTCTGCTTAATGAGAAATACTAACAGGTAGTGGTTATCTCCTTTTCAGAATAGTGAAGAGGATGCTGGTCGAATCGGCTTAACAATAGTTTGTGCCGGAATGGTTGGCTCTATTGTCTGCGGTATTCTATTAGACAAAACACATAAATTCTGGTGAGCAATCGGACATTATTTTATAGAATAATCGAATCATGGAATTTTACTCCAATGTTGGCAGAAGTAATTCAACTAACTTTTTCTATCAGCAAATCAAACTGATTTATAATAATTATTATAAACGTTACGTAAAACTAAGAGAAAAATATTTCATTTACTTGATATCTTATCCAATTATATTAGATCAAAGCAAATTTATCTCGATTTATTTGATGACAGAGCAAATACGTACAATCGAAAAAATGTAGACAATACTAATTTACAGGTTGACGACGGTAGGAGTGTATGTTTGTTCTTTGGTGGGTATGATAATCTTTACTTTCACACTGGACGTGAAGATATACGTTGTCTACATCACGGCTGGCATTCTAGGGTAAAGTCCAGCGACTATTTTCATTATAAGATTTTTTATTATTTAAAAATATTTTAATTTATTGGCTTGCGTCATTAAATGTCTGATTTATTATTAAACACTTTGCTCTTACTTACGGACTTTGCTCTTTGGCTGCATTTTGTTGAAAATCTTGTTAAAATTTGTTTCACTTCTTCTTTAAAAATTCACAAAATTTCTGAAAGCATGTCGAATAATTGAGCGGTTTTGACTTCAAACTCGAACTTCAATTTCGAAATTTTATATTATTTATGCGTATTATTTTTTATATTATATTATATAAATATTTTTATAGCTTTTTCATGACCGGATATCTGCCGGTCGGCTTCGAACTCGCTGCAGAATTAACGTTCCCGGAGCCCGAAGGAACATCTACTGGTCTACTGAACGCAGTCGTCCAACTGTTCGGTATCGCCTTTACTCCACTTTATCGCTACCTGCTTAACATTTGGGAAGATTTTTGGGCAAATATTGCGCTGTGCTGCATTCTTGCAGTTGGCGTTTTGCTTACAACTTTTATACCGAACGATCTAAGACGTCAAAAAGCGAAGGCTTGACAGTTTGAACAGTCACCTAGCCAGTAATGAGCTACAGTCTTTGATAAGCTTCTGTAGTTCGAAGGAGTAGTTTTTGTCTCGACAATACTTCCCATAAACCTATTATCCTAGTTCAATTGGGTCTTAACTTATTCCCGAATATATACTGTGTGCCAGAACTACCATTTCTCTGAGCCACGTATGTATTCATCCGAAAAAGGTATACCTTTTTTGAAATTAAATGGATTAATAGAGGCCCTGAAGGAATAATCAGATAGTATAATAGGCGTTTATCTCGTAGGGACTTCTAAATTTTTACTGTAATAGAAACAGATTTAACACTTAGTGCGCCTAAGTGCCAAAATGCCTAATGTTGAGAGTTTGTAGAAAGATGTAAAGAAATAGACCAATATTTTTATGGAAAAATTGATAACTGAATTTTTAGAAAAAAGATGGTACAATTTGCTTTAAGAGATGACAAGAAAGCTATATACATACAATATATATGTGTAGAGATATATTTTTGTCGTCATTGCTATTAGATTTAGAAACAAAGTGGTCTAACAAATATATGTACAAACGACGAAGAAAAGTAAAAATCGTCGGAAAATTCTCGATCCTGTTGTTAGTTGAACTTAATCTCAGGTAAGCGGTAGTATTTAAACGGTATTGTGTAGTAATTAACTCTGAAAATCAGCGAATTGAGAATAAATTATAATACTAAATAATAACACTGTTCAACAGTCAAATTCTCTCCGATAATATATTTTCCAAAGATTTTTTGCGCTGAACACGATGATGGAGAAATGTGCACTTCGGAGAGAAAAAAATAATTTTTTTGTTGGACAGTGTAATTACAAAAATATTATGAAATTAATTTCGTCGTCTGTGACAACTATTGACAATAATCTATGAACTTTTATCATTTTCCATTTTCTTAAACCTTCGGTGCTATTCTATATCGTTTTGTTACGCATTTACCATATATTGTATCTTTATTAATAACAAAAGTGTAGCAAAGCTTAGCGCAACGAGTAGTTGCGTAAGTAGTTGCGTAAGTAAAAAAAAAACAGATATGCACTGGGTGTCAAAAGGTTAAATTCCTATATTTTGTAATATAGGAATTCAACGAATGATAATTAAGAAATATATGTACATACATAAATTTCTTAATCCTGAATATATTAAAATATATTGAAGCAAATTCATTGTTGAATAATAGCTATTTATATACGTAAATACATAGTCATGAATCCATACAAAATGTTGGGTAGATACTACCGCAATAGACAAGAGATGTAGTAATTAAAAGTGATAAGTGTAATGACAGTGATTGTTCAAGTTATAGCTTTATATTGCGGTAATAAATGAATGTTATATTAATACGTAATAAATAGAAACAACTGTTTCAATAATGAATTAATTCCATCTCTATTATCGCGATATTAATAATTATGATTATAGAAGGCGATTCGTAATATTGTGACATGTGATTTTATTACCGCAAGCTTACCGTTCCTTGTATACTATATCTACAATGTGCCTATGTGTTTGAACCATTGTCATTCACGTGAAATTCTATTTTTTAAATGCTTGATTGTTCGCCTTGTGATAAAAAGTTATTTAATATATGTACCATATTTATATTATTTTCCTGTTTCGAATAATATGTATATTTTTTCAAAAGATGAACATTTTATTAGGATGTGTACAGCTATTTATAAAAACCTCAGTTAGCCATAGCGTTCCTTTATATAGATATTATATTCATACATAAATATTAAATGTTTTAAAAATGAAGTTACCGTAGCATTAAGAAAACGTAAAATCACGCTCTAAAATTTGTGTTCATGTCGCGTGTATTATTAATTTGATTTCAGGTTTTAAAAATAAAAGCGTAGAAGTATTTACATTATGCAATGTTAAATATGCTTTTTAAAACCGTACGAGCAAATAACTATTTAAATCACAGACACAATCCTGAAGGCTGCCGCTTTCGAATCAGACAAATAAATTGTCTTCCAATGTGATGTTTCTTCATTATATTTTCTTAGACCATTTATTGTGTGTTCCTACAAAGTTGTTCGATTTTATAAATAAAATGTTAAAATAACAATAATTATATCGTATAATCATTAAGCTGTATCGCAAGAAATATCAACCTTTATAAATACGTATATAAAGTATATACTAGATATTTTAATCTTAAGATAAATGATTTCTTATAATATTTTATATTATTTTCAGGTAATGAGATGTTGAAGACTTATTATATCACCATTGAGGTGTACTTTTATTTAAGAAAGTTTCTATCAACTTACAATTGTTTAAATATTGTGTTCTCCGTAACATAATGTATGCGCGATGTATACGAGATGAAGTTTTATCATATATTACATTGATTTGAATGAGATATTATGATTGAATGCGTGTTTGCATATTTATTTAAATAGAACTTTTTAAACGTGACGAATGTAAAAAGTGTTCCACTCAAAAGTACGAAATTACGAATAACAAAGATAAAAAATTCAAACAAAAGTATATTTTTTACATTTGTATTATTTATCACAAACGTATTTAATATTTATTCAATGAGTTTCTTCATCCTAAAGAAGCGCCGGAAGTAGAAAAGTTGCCAAGTGGACAAACCGAAGAGGATACATATCGAGAATAAACTGAAGTATAATACTCGAGTGTTTGTGGCCTCTGAAACAAAAAAAAGGATCATTGAATATTAAACTGTTTACAAGTACTTAATTATCAATTTAATTATGACATTTCATTATTAATTTATAATTTAAATTTGCAATTTGATCATATAATTCGAAATTATAATTTTCTATAACAAAATTATTTTCTTTCATTATTTACTAAAAAAAAAATTTTTTTACCATTTGTGTCTCTCATTTCTTCTTCGTTCTTGCGCATTCTTGCAAAGTCTTGCACTATCGCCTCGGACAAGTCTTCCAACCGTTTCAATTCCACTTCTACTGGTTTCAACTTGGCTGCTTCACCGATCTGTCGAAGAAGATAATAATTTTTACCGGAAAGCGGCGACATCCTCGACGAAAAAACCTTAGCGATTCGTTAGTATTGCGTATTACAATTGATACAAATGAATTACAAAAAACGCAACTACTACAAAATAAAAGCCAAATAACGGATAGTTTCTTTGCGTGTATGTGTTTTACACAGAGCGAAAAAAGATATTAAATAATGTGGTATACAATATCTGATTGCAGTAGTTCTAATTTTTAAGTGAAATTAACTAATCACATTAAATACTTTATCATAAACTCCTTTATTTTTAAAAATCTTGTCTCTAACACAAAAAAATCGCACAATTTTCGCTAAAAAATATTTAAGTAATAATACCGAATATTTTGACTCACATTTTCTCAAAACCTTTTAGAAAAATAAAGAGATAAATAAACAGATCTCAGCTACAGGAAAAAGCATTTAGTAATGTTATATGACTTAATTAATATTTCATGTTTTATTGAGTATTATTGAGGAAGAACTGAAACTATATAGAATTGAAATATTCGGTATTAAAATGTGTCAATTATTATGTTGCTGTTATGTGGATATTAACATGTTTTTAAGAAATCTAACGATACAAAATGCTTTATGTTAAAAAAATGTCCAAATAAATAATTTTTATCGCAATATAAATTCAAGTCAAAAAATATATAGTCAATTTTACAACCAAATATAATTAATGTGTTCGCGTGAATAAAATAAATTTCAAAAATTCTTGCCGTTAACGGAACATCCGCGAATAAAAGCATGCACAAATTAATATAACTGCGTTGCGCTCTAATAGCTCAGTTCTAAGGCTGCCAATGTACAAGTATGTGATTTGTGATAAAACACATGCCAACGAGAACACAATATCGAAAAAACTCTACTTTACCAACTGCACCGCGGAAACAAGCCACATATAAAAAGAAAGTAAACAAAGTAATGTCAGATAGTTTCTCTCGATCTCCGCGTTATATATTGAATAATAATTCCTTTTTTTTTTTGTAAAAGAATAGATATTTGTAATGATGCGAACTTACGCCTTCGTAACTCTTTGCTTCAATGCCGCGTTTTGTAATCAGCGTAACTTCTTGCCTGATACCACGCTGATCTGAAATAATTTTCGTATCAAATTTAGCTAAAACATTTTCTTACATTTTATATAATAATTCTTCCTTTAGATAATTCTTTAAATATATATGTATTTCTTGTAGCAATTTAATTAAATTATATATCATGAAAACAAGTTATAAAGTTAAAAATGGAGTATACGTACGATTTGGAACGCGCGAAATGAAACATATCTCAAAAGTATCATAAGTTTCTGTTACAAAAGAGAATTTCAACAGTTTCCCATGGGGAATGTCCTCCTTTTGAGACAATATATGTCCTTTCGAATCCTGAATCTGTAAGAAGTAGAAAAAATCATTGATATAACATTAATAGTTCTTTTTAGTTTCTTGCAAGGCTCATCCTACTTCTTTTTCCTTTCACATTGGAGAGAAAAAAACAAAAGAATTGTGAGAAGAACAAGAAATTTAGCTAATGTCCATTTCTACAAATGTAGATTGACTCTCAGTTCAATTGATTCTTTAATCTCTTAGTTCTTAAGCCAGATCTACAATGAATTGATAATCTATAATCTATAGTCAGTGAGTCGAAAGCGAGTGTGAAGGATAATTGATGAAAAAAAGTGAATTTGAAGGATAATTGGCGAGTCAGAATTGGTCAAAATCAGTAAATCGGTATAAAGGTTAGCCAGAAATCTATCGGCTATTAACTTGTTATATATCCAAAGCTAGAAAAAAATGAAAAATAAGTTGATTCGAGATCAAAGTTAACCTTCACTGGTGAAAATGGACATAAAAAGACAAGACCTAATATTTAATACGATTTTAGGAGAAAAGCAAACAATAAATTTTATTATCATAGCTGTTATCAAATCGCACAGCTGTTATCAAACTGCAAAATATTAAGTAATGTTTGACGCTCTTGCAGAAATATTTCGGCAAAGGATGAATGAAAAATTGTTAATCTACTTACCACATAATTCGCCTTCTGACCCATCGCCTCGGATACCTCGTACTCGCCTGTGACAAGTACATTTGCGTGAACCTCCTCCTTTAGACACTTGTGACTATTGGGCTCCAGGAAGAACATGATGCCATGAACCTGAGCGACTAGGAGGATCGCCAGGAAGGCTTTTACGTGAGCCTGAATCATTTTGCTCATTTGGCTCAACAATACTCTGAAAAGAGATGTTGTTCCGTGTCACCAAAAAGAAGTTCCACGCTCACATAACATCCACAGCATCACGACATTCACGATGAGGTGGCAGCCACATTGGCCATTAAATACTAAGAATAAGTCAGAAAGGAAGATGACTTTGTCGAGGAGATTTTAGAATATAATTATCGACAAAATCAAAATCGAAAATTATAAACGCGATCCAATTAGAAAGGCTGCGTTCAGCAGAACACAACAATTTTGCAACAGTTTTATAATTGCCTGTTGAGATAGGACTATTCTTTTAAATCCAATAATATAATCCAATCAGCGCGAAGAAAACTTCCAACTTCCAGTTGCAAAATAAATGTTCTGCTGAAGACAAACTTTTGGGAATAAAAAAATTAACAGTAATCCAAGAAATAAAATAAATAGTATGTTAAATCAAAATTGAAATTAATCTTATATTAATGAAACTAGATTTTAGAAATTCAGTGACTTTTAAAAATTTCTGAAAGTTTAGCAATTTTTCGATTTCCTTAAAATATAATTAATTTGTAATTGTAAAAAATTGATTATAAATATTAAATATGTCGCTGATCTAAGTGTTTCGCATAGTCTATGGTTCTGTCACAAGCAAGAATTTGCGGCTGCATTTACTAACCTCTTATCTCGTCTAACCTCTCAGCAGTTTCAGCAGGAGATTACGTTCGACGTGCTCTGGCGTTTGACATATGCTACTATCATCAGCATGGTCCTGTTGGAGAATGATGCGGTAACTTAATGTTGAAATTGTTCTCTCGCGTATAAACGACTAACCGACGAATTTTCGTTGCAGTTCTTAGCGGAGTTAACCAAACTCTTTGACAAGTCACGGCTTTCGGGCGCGGTATCACTCACTATTAAAAGATGTGAGTATCTTTTGTTGTCTTTTTCATTCAAAATACATGTTGCTAAAGACTGAAAGTAAAAATGACAATTCTCCAAAGATTATTAGCCTTCCATTTTTTAGCAATCTGGGTTTTTTTAACACAAACGAAATTTTACTTTTAAATTTCTTTCTCATTTTTGCTCAAATTTCAATTTTTCATTTTTTTAAGATCCAGAATAAAAAAACTTGCT